TACAGAAGATTTCACAGTTCACCGAGGCCTGGTGTATCTGCAGGAAATCACAAAATGGTTCCATTCATTAGGTCAACACTAACATTCGTTCCCCTATCATGAACAGACAGACAGTCATCACTTCCAAAACGTAACCACAAAAGTGTAAGTGCAGTATAAAATTAGGCGTCAGATTACGGTGGCCTACTGCGGTACGCAATCACACTGGCTACCTTAGATACTAATATTACATCGCGTTGTTTGATAAAGCTATTTGTCTATTACCCTTCAATTTAATCACCAAAAGAATTTTCAGTTCCGTCGCCAGAAACAGATCTTTGCTTCTTTCTTCAGGGTACTCCGCCCGTCCTTAAGCCATGCCTGAGGAGCATCCCGATCGTAGACCATATCACAGAAGAAAACGGCGAGGTGATGATGGCGGAGATCGTGGCTCCTATGGGAAAAGGATACCAGACAGGTATTTTAACCCACTCAAGTTTAATCTTCACAGATTTATTACTAGTGGGAGACGACGTAAAATGACGCTGTATTTACGCCGGAAAAACGTGGAGTGACGGGGTTCTTCTCGTTTTCATTCCAATGTATTATTTCGCTTGAATTAAGATCGACAAGTTTTTAGTAAGGTGCAAGGTTAGAAAAATGACAATTACTCATTGTTATTACTGTGAATTCAGTTCATATCAGTAGCTGGAGAAAACCACCGTGGGGGGAAGGCTTCGGACCAGTCTATCCATTCAACAATCTTTCGCATAACAATTTTTTCGGCGTCTTGCGCGACACGCCCACTACACTGCTCCTGCACACAGTAGATCTCATCGTAGGCCCGCCCCAGATGCCACGCCCCTTTTTGCCGCAAACATAAAGTACGCTTTTATTACAGACTGTCCAGTGTTTTGCATAATTTCAGCGATGCATCTGAAGAGTTTTCAATGTAATTGAGGTAGATATAGGATAGCAAAAGCGAAAAAAATATAGAAATACGAAAAGCGCGCCACTATTACACTATCTGCTGGAGATTGAAGCCCGGTTCGAACCCCTATCATGAACCATAATAGCCTTCCTTCCCTCTGGTTTAGATTAGCTAGCGCTAGACGTTCCACCTCAGGTCATCACCGAGTGTTTCATCCTCTTTTGATTCACATTATAAATTTTTTTCTTTCTTTGAAAAATGTTTTTAAGAACGTTCTGCTGGAGCGCGAGCGCGCCCACTGACTTGTTCTTATTGTGATTTGTTCATGTTATTATCCCTGTCCTGTTCAGGTGGCTGAATTATGACCCAGTTGGACGAGACTTGGAAGGCACACGTTTCGTGGCATTCAAAACTCCACTAGAATAGATCATTTTTCTCAGGATGAAGCACGATTTACGTGACGACTTCTTCGATGTGGTTTTCGGAAATAGGTCTCATATGTTGAGGCATTTCTAAATATCTCTATTTATTTGTCGTTTTGGTCATTTTAACAGAAGAATTTTAGGCTCGTTTGGGCTGCGCTAAAAAGGATTTCTTCACACCTGGGAGGTATGAAGGTTGAGTTGAGAGTCGTAGCCCCCACAAAACAAATCTGACAGATACTACAATACGCTTGTTAAATTGCGGCGACGGAAATATTAGCGTATTATAATACTGTGTAAGTTCTAATATACAGAATATTGGTCATTTTTTTCTCTTAATTCTCCCACATTTTAATTTTACACTTGGGCTTAATGGATTCATATACCGCGATCATAACATCCAGTTTACCATCTTGGGATTCAACGGTCAAACATGGACCATTTCCTTTCGGGAACTTGTTTTTTTATGTACAGAGCAATAAGCACCATTGCGGCGCTAATCTATGAAGTAATAAACACTTTTCTTCAGAAAGATGAACTGCCCGGGACATGAGGTGAGCGATCGCGAGGACATCGTAAAGAATTTTCTAAATGTTGTTGATGAGTTCATCGGTGATACAAGTAATGGTGAGTTCTCTTGAATCCACTTTTTTGTTTTCCTTTAATCTAGATTTACTTTGTTTGATTACCATGTTTTCTGAGTACAAGCAGAGACCCTCACGACAACTCGCACAAAATTTCTCTGGACACAGCAGCAGCGGCATTTGTTTTTCGTATTCTTATGTTCTGAACTGTTCTCAAACTTTTTCTTTAATGCTACTATCCGGCAATTCCACGAAAGTTACCCTGTTTTTGGGGTATAAAGTACATTCGCTGATAAGTCGCACGCGGCACCGCGCGCGGGAAGTTTCTGTTCACAACGGTTCCTTTCCTTTCTTAGTCTTTTTTGCATATTTCACTCTTCCGGACGCCTATTTCATTCAACATAAATCATTGATATAGATGGGGACAAAACAAAAAACACTCAATACTGAACCGATAAAGAAATAATCGCTGCTTAAGAAGCGGAGATG